TACTTGCTTGACTGGACCAGGACTGCCTAGGACTGGGACTGCTGACTCAGCACGGGCAGACTCCACCACTTGCCTCACCACTTGCCCACTTGCCTTAGCCTAAACATGGGCAAATTCGAAAGGCCACTACTGGGACCTTCCGGAAGGCCGTAGACTTGGCCTTTCGATACTGTAGCAGCTACGACCTTGACCTTTCTGGACTGAAGCAGCTACGACCTTGACCTTTCAAGAAAGCTACAGCTACGACTTCTAGACCTGACTGTGACTCCTTCTCGACGGGTCTACAGATCGAACCCCTGCTACCTATGGACCCTACGAGGACCTACCAACTGTTACAAATACACAGGTCACGGGTTCAACCCTAGGGGTCGACATAGATACTGTACACAGGTAAGGTGGGAACTAGGGATCGAGCCCTGGGATCTGCATCTGCCACTGCGAACTGGTGAATACCGTTTCAATAGCATGATTTCATTATATAAGCAAAAGGAGGCCGGGAATCCCTCCACATCTCAACCCAGAGTACTGGGGCCAATACCCAGCTTAGGCTCATACTGGAAAACGGCTGCAGTGTCCCTTGCTTCAAAAACTGTACATGCTATTCCAGAACGAAGCACAGAAACTGGACTAACAAAATTACAAACAGCAAAAGGAGGGGAGAGAAAAGTTCTACAAGAGCAGACAAGAAGCTATTTACACTTAACGAAACCCTAACCTCTATTTTATATCTTGTGGATTCTTGCCCTCTTAAACCCTGAACCCTACTCCTACCTCTCCCCGCTGCGTGCTCTATGCTTCTCCTATTTGGACCACGTGATTCTCAGTCCCTGGTAAGATCTCTTGCGGTCCTTCCCTGAACCATTGGAACACCAGCCTGGTTCCCTCTATTGTGGCTACCTTACCTTGAGCTAGTACCTTTTTCTGAAACGTCCCTGTTAGCTCCTTCGCCTGATTTGGGTTCAGGTTTGCTTGCCTTCGTATCCTCTGCCATTGCACCCTGATGTCCGCTTCCAGCAGCTTGTACAGCGTCTCTTTTGCTTCTTGTCTGTGCATTTGTCTCCTCCCAATGGTCAGTTGGCATCTTGATTCCATATGGTCCAACTGTCTTAACAGTTGGAAAATGGGCTTCTGATGTTGCTGCCATGTTCTGGGCACGTCGTTTCCCACCAGCAGCGTCCTCCTGTCCTCTGGGAGCGGGCCTCTATTATATGTCTCCAGACTCTCCACAATACTTTTGTTTCTTCCCATATGTATACCACTTATGGGCATAATAGAAGATGGTGGCTCATTGTCTCCGGGGCCCCTTCTCCACACTGGACACACGCTTGGCTGGTGATATTTCTGTGGTTTTGGCTTCGGCGCTTGTACAACCATGTGTTGACTGGCAGTGGCACGTGGAAGATGAGCCATTGCATACTCCTGACCCTGCCTAGCTTGATAGGGTGCAGGGTTGAGGGAAGGCTGGCTACCTGTTGTCTTGGCACCTCCACTCGCTTTTCCCATCTCACAGACAAAGGGGCCGCCAACGGATATGAGCGTTTTCTCAGTCGATACCCTAACTTCGTTGTGTAATGTAATATGTTGGTTCTTCTGGATATTCCTAGCGCTCCTCCCCTGAGGTTCCACGCCCATTCAACAGGGTCTATTTCCAGGTCCTGTACTGTCGTTGTGGAGGCAAAGATCGTGAGGTCTAAGCTCTCTATCACTCTTGCCTTCCGCATCTGCTCCTTCCTTATTGTGATCGGGGTGCAAGTCTCCTTATCTAGGAGACTGACATGAGCTCCTGGGACTTCTATTGTGTACATGTCCGCTCTCAACCATTCTCCTCCTGGGCCCGTCTGTCCCCCTATTCTAAATGTCTCCGTTGGAGTGTCACTGTTAAGCCATGTGTACCAGTCCCTGGTACCCCAGCACTGAGCTCCTTTTAGTAATCTAGTCCACCCTTCTGGTATGGATATCAGAACATTGTTTACGTTTCCAGTAGCCCATGGCTTCCTTTCATCTCTCCTCTCAATTCCCCTGTTGTCTTCCATCGCTGGCTCTCTTCCAACCATAGATGCTTCAACTGCCATATGTCGTGCCCTAGTCAGGCCCCCCATTTGGAGTCCTTCGCTGTGAGCGTGCGGGGTTTCCCTGCCATATGGGGTACCAGAATAGTGGCTGCCTTAGGACTTCCTCCCTCGGACGGGGTTCCTTCACTCTCGCGGGGAAGATGTCTCCCCACAGCTTCAGAATCTGTGCCCAGTACGAGCTCCCTCTCACCTCCATCTCTTCTGTTTGTCCTCCTTCCCCCTCTCTTCCTTTTTTGGCCCAACTCTTACACATTAACAAAATGTTCATGTCAATCATCCATTTCATCCTCAGAGCACTCGTCTCTGTAGTAACTATCCAGGTCTATTGCAAACGCCCTGGAGTCCAAGTCATTTGTCCGCATTCAAAATGCCAGATCTTACCAGGTCTGCCACCGAGGAGGCCAGCAGCTCCGCTCGAATGCCAGGCCCTGCCAGCATGCTATAAGGAATCGTCCCACTCTTCAGTTTGGTCCTTCTGGTAATTTTGCAATCAGGGGAGAGAAGGTGCAAGGGGTGTGCCTGTCCAGGTCCATCAGGTGATCTTGCTAGTCCTCCTGATCAGCTTGAGAAGAGATTACCTCTGCATAAGGATATGGGTCTACTGTTTCATATGGTCCCAGAGGATACCCATCAGTGACCTTTTCTTGAAGAACGTTAGGCACGTTCTGTCCTTCGTCAATATTTGGGATTGTGAAGGACACATCTGTGGAAATCTGCCATTCTCCCTCCTCCTCAATGTAATGAGCTGTAGTTAGTGGCCAAGTACCCATCAAAGTCAGCCTTGGTGACTTGGCTGATGCCACTACATGTGGTGCCCTGCGGTCTGCAATGTGCTGAATGGTGGTGAACTCGGGTGCACACGCCACATTCAGCTTCTTTAGTTTTTCTGTCTTGGCCACTACTACTGCCACTCCTTTTCCAACTGCGAGCGTATTGATTTCCCCTTGGCCTCTGTATGATCTGGCTGGTATGAGTTCGGCTCCTTCTTTTTGTGATTTTTTGTTGTCTTCCATTTCTTTGGGTCCAGGTCCTCAAAAGAGTCTTCAATGTTGAGGACCGTCTTGTCCTTGTCTGTAACATCTCGTTCCCTTGCCCTCTTCTTCTCCGTGTACCTAAAGGCCGTATATTCTAAAGGTTTCTCCACCTTCTTCAACATCTCGTATTGGTTCGTTGATTTGTGAATGCTAGCAATTGCCCCAATTTCTTAGATCTCTCAATACGTTTCAGACTGGTTGTTCTAATATCAAAAGCATGCTCTCTCTCCCTTTTGGCCTTCCCTCAACCATTGAAGTGATCGTTGGGAATCAGACCCACTGTCCATGGCTGACCCCGCAGACCCCTTGTTGTTCTTGCTGTCCTTGCTGTCCCTTCTGTCGCTTGAGGAGCCAGCCAGAATCTGTATCCGTCTTTTGCTCGTTTGCCGGGGCCTGTTCAGCACCCATTTTGTAATCTGATTCTGTTGCTTTCCTTCTCTTGGGACCCAAGTCCATCTTCCCTTGTGAGTCATCTTCATCCAGCGTACGTTTGTTGTCCGCTTGTGTTTCGGTGGATTTCTGAAAGGCCCCTTGTTCCTTGGTCCGAGCATCTCCTGAATGCCTGTGGGTTCTTTGCTGTATTCCTGTTCTGCCTATTCTCGGACTGAGTCCAGATCCCACAGCAGGACCTCCTTGGCTTTCTCTTCTCTAATCACCCGGGAGTCAATCAACGGTTTACTGTTGATCTTTGTTGGATTCCCAGTTAATTGTTGCCTTTTTCTGCCATCTGAGTCTGCCAGAGCAAAAATGTTGGGTTAGTTAACTCCAGTTTCCTTGTCTGCGTAATGCCAAACCCAGTCTGGATCGTCTAAGTTATCATCGAGCACCCAACCATTGTAGTTAGGGTTGACAATGAACCATGTGCCAGGGGCATCCTCCACCTCCACTAGCCTGTTGGGATGGAGTTTGCATTCTTTCTATTGTTTCAGAAACTTCGGGCAGTTTGGGTCTATTCCCATAAGACCGTGCCCCCTGCATCTGAAGCAGGTCGGTAAGGCTTTGGTGGAAATCCTAGTTTCCTGCACTTTGTTCTCAAATTTGAAATTTCCAAATAAGAGGGACTACCGGGGGATCAACTATCTTGATTTCCAGAAGGGCAGTCATGGAGCCAAAGTGTTGCATACTGTAACGGTGCAGACCAGAACAACAACCGACCTCTCTCACAAAGTACAAGATAGCGTAGCGGAAGACTTAGATACCAATGATCCGAACAATCAATACTGCAATGCAGCCCCTAACATACATCATCATCATCCCATGGTGTGAAGGGGTCTGGCGCTCACACAGGAAGAATGAGCCAGCCCCAACCATTCACAGACGAAGAAGAGGGG